CGTCAGGCTCAGGATCGATCGAAATGGAGAAGTTGCCAGCTGCATCGATGGCGTGACACCAGAGATTGATGAAACAACAGCTGTTCAAGGTATTCAAGGTATTTGTCCATATTTAAAATACAGACATGTGAAGCTTGGCGAGAAATTTTCCTACTTCGGAACCAGACAGGGTGGAAAGCTGAAACTTCAAGAACATGTTTTCCGACCATCTACGACGCCATAGATTTTAGATTCAACTTTCACGTACGCCTAAGTCTCAGGTACGTGCTATGGAAGTTTTGGATAACGGGGGCGTCCTGATGGTATCTGCAGATATCGAACAATAAAATAGTATAAATTTTTAAAAGTAAGCGACCGCTAGACAGAACTGCACAAGACGTATGTTCACCAGTTATATGGGTGTACATCGCTATTTATTTTCATAGGCTTGAACTGCGCAGTTCAGGAAGATTGTAAAAAGTTACCTTTGGATTGATTTTCTGCTCCACTTCATGCTTTAAAATATGCAATAAAAGTGTCAGACCCTGTAAGCAATTTTGAAAAAATTCCTCCAAAAACGTGGATATGTTGATCAATGGTTGCTCGGTTTTGTGACGTTATAAATTCCGATTTTTATGTGAATGAGACAAATTTGCAACGAAACAGGAACCGTTCTGTAAAGATTGCTTGTTTGAGGTATACCTAAGTAGTAAATCCTGAATTGAATGTTGGCTGACCTGGATCAAGCTCAAAACGGAAAGTCCCAACCAAACACCAATTGATCCGCCAATCTCGGCGATAAAACTTGTCACCGTATAAACCCTGTTTTGTTCTAGCGACAAATATTCAAAAGAGCGCCAGTTCAACGTTACCATTGTTAAATCTGTAATGTTAAATTAATTTTATACTTTTTCGTGAAACATTCACGAATGGTATTCACAATTTAGCCCGTTCTATTCGCCACGAATCCCCACAGTTTCGCCATCGCAGTTTCTGGGTTCTAATCTCTGCGGTGGCTTTCAGTTGTACCCGGCAGTTCTGTAGTATTGGATGGTGCGATCCTAACATATTCATCTCTTTATTTTAAATTTTCTGTGCTTTTTAATGATTTCCTGGAGTAGCTGTAGCAGGAATTCGACCATGGAATTGTGAAACAGCAGCGGCATGAGCGACACAGAAGTCACATGCCTGTCCTCGTAACATCTCTTAGCATTTAGGAAATCTCACTTACCGCATAAGCTTCCAACAGCCTGACCAGCAGGTTAATCTCAGAGAAAAGTCACCAGCTCTTACAAGTTGAAGAGATTGAAACGGTTCTATGTGTGAAGGACGATGTAGCAAGTCGAAATACAGTAGAGACGCCTAATGAATTCGAATTATGATAGAAAATATACTGCTGTTTAACATGGGTCCCTTGATTTCGTGATCGACTCGAAATCGTATTTGCTTGCAGTTCCGATAACAACTCTTCAGACATTCTTCATCGGTAGAGTTTGTATTCTCTGTCCTGCAATTGAAATCGGCTTTGAGCGTATTTTCATTACATACCATGGCCTTGGCGTATGTGAGATTCGTTAAGTTTTAAATCTAGTTCATTCTAAGTCTATTAATTTATGGGCCAATATTTTTTATGAAATAAGCGAATGATGGACAGTCATGAAAATATCGTATGCTTACCGTTCAACATCAGTGGTGTAGTCACATGGTGAATATCCATCATAATCTTTATCGGCCAAGTATGACAATGAGTGAGCTGTACAGTTGTAAATTTCCTGTAAAAATTCGGTTGCTTCAAATTTCAAAATGCGAATTATCAAGAAAATTAAAAGAGGCACTCCAGCAGATAGCAAGAAATTTGTGAAGCAACAAGATGCGACGATGCGATGCACGCCGCATCCAGTTTCGCTGATAAATTCGACATCGCAAATTGTTGTTTTCTTTGTTATTCTTTGCGCTTATTCTTGGATCGAAGTAGAATTTTGAAATGGAAAAAAGGAACCCGAATCAGGTGAAGTCGACAACGACTACGACAGTTGAATTCTTGTTCCTGGTCGTTACTCGGATGACGACACGCTGTCCCCTCATCATCATTTTCGAGCATTTCGTAGTAGGCTCGAACATCTACATTTACTTCATGTCGAAGTCCAAGGCATAGCTACAAAAAACAAATTGTTACGGTGACTTATCTAACGTGTGCGTGATTTCTTTTTTTTTTCAAAATAACTGGGTCTTTCTTAACTGACAATTCATGCATCACTTGTAAGTGAAAGATTTTTAAGCAAGGCATATTCAGAGATCTATAAAAGTAGATGTATTGACGGAACAGCAGTACCTGGCTTGCTTTCGTGCCTCAGTTGAGGCAGAGTGAGCCTATCGCAGTTATTGGTTTAAAAAAAAAACACCTCGTTCCTTCAGGATTCGTTGATTCGCTTCAGTAGCCATTTGACAGGAATGCAATTAGCTCGCTACAGGCTTAACTCGCTCCAATTGGCTTCCCAAACATTCCCAGAAGTCCTACTTTTTATCGGCTGTTTTTTGAGAGCGTGGTACCACTTGAGCTACAGCCCAGTGCTTTTTTTTCTTTAAAACTTCAGAAGCACAGAGCTTTGATAATTTCTTGCTCTCAGAAAAATACAAACATCTCCATTGAAGCCATCCATAACTTGGCTTTTTCCTTGCATAAAGCGCG